GATTGCTCTATTTGCAGGAGCTTAGGGTTTGAAGTAAAAGCCTTTTTTAGTCCCTCCTACCTCTCCAGCTCTGTCTAGCAGGGTAAAGGAGAAATTCAGATTCCGCTGCGTTAACCATTAAACAAGAGGTAAATTACATTTATTTTAGGACATTAATCATGCCAACTTGCCCTGAAAATGTGGTTTATCATTCTGAATAAAAAAAAAGAAAAAATTGCAGGATTCAGGTGGACTTTATTGCTACTAAACATTAGGAGCTGATCCACCCCCAGCTGGAGGAAGGAATGAAACCTACTGACAGAATTAGAGCAAGGGCCGAACCAAAGATCTTGTACCACAGAAAGAATGCTTTCCAAGTGCAGTGGTAAACCCTGCAAGAGGTAGACATTAAACTATTTACATATTTTTAACAAGCAGTAAAAGAGATTATAACAAGCCAACAATCAAATGTTTAGCTGCTTTTAATGTGAAGTTATTAATTCTCAAAGAATCTCAAGAATCACAACAAAGACTCTTTCAGTCAGTTTCTAACAGCTTAGAACAGGGTTTCACAACTGGGGTTCCACCACCTTTGCAGTGAGCACCATTGCAAAGTAAAAAAAAAAATTTCCTGAGCACAAATGCAAAGTTAAGAGTTCTTCCCTGAGGACCAACGCAACGTTTTCCCCAAAGCACCAACACAGAGCGAGTTTTGTCACTGAGCACCAATGCAAATTCAGTGTTTTTTGGGACTCTGTCATCCTGATATTTTGTTAGAAATTCTGTTTTATATTTTGTTAGTGTTTTTTTTAACATATTTTGTGCTATATCTACAACTCCTTAAATCACACTAATGTACCATGAGCTGTAGAAGAGAAAATGATTTCAGGGGTTCCACCGAGATGTTTACAAGGGTTCCTTGAAGGTAGAAACATTGAGAAAGGCTGGCTTCAAAATACCTGCTGGTTGTTTACATCAGAGGGCTTGCATTGTAAACTTTGAAAATGATTTCCCCCACAATGCTTATAGATACAAAGGTGGATGACTGCTTGTTTTAAAGTTCTTATTCCGTTTGTTCAGAATATCTATATACTTTAAGCTGCATAGTGAAAGATAGGTCCTGGAGACAATAAAACATAAAAAAGTAGGTAAATACTTTTCATAGGCACTGTAAGGTTGGGCCCCTGATTTCATGGACCAGTTGGACCCTCTGCACTTCTGACAGCTACACAATAGTAAAAGGTCCACTCTACCCAAACCTAACATTACAGGTGCTTGCTTTTTATTTCTCTTGGGCACTCTAGTAGTGAAATATCTGTGCTTGAGTCCTCAGCTTCACCCTTCTCCCATAAAAGAGAAGGTGAGTGAACACCTGTGTGTGCATATGTTTGGGGCAGCATGTTATCAGCCTCACTCTCGTCCCAAGATAGTAATGAGGGTTAAAAAAAAAAAACACAATTTGCAAAAAAAACAACTTTAGCGTGTATATAAAATCCTGGTATTTATTTTACTAAAGAAAAACAGATTTAATGGGAGGATTATTAGAACTGGTCTCTTCTGGGATGATGTTGCACATCCTGCGCACCCCCACCCCCCACATCATTTAGCCCGCATTTATCTGGATGAGGCTGCCCAGCAACACATTGTGCGCAGCTGAAGTGTTCACGATAAAACTAATTAAAGCATGTATTAAGATGAAGAGTAATTCCCTTTATCTTATCCAGTCTGGTTAATTGGATGGACTTCACAAGCTGTTTACGGGTTGCTGGCAAGATGGAGTGCTGGAGCAGGGGAAGGGTGGCTTTGCATTGAGGGAATCTCAACTATAGTTACAGCACAATATAATTCATAAGGTACCCCACAATATGTCTGACCAGTCATGAATTCGGCAATGGAAACACTTAAACTAGACGGCAGCCATTGCTAACCTCTTCTTTTGAATATGATAGCGGAGTGGATTGTGGATGAGAGAGTGGATGTCATGCTCGTCCAAAGGCTTCAATAATTTCTGAGTCACTGACCTAAAATAAACATGATATAGACAGCCAGGAAACTAGTGTTTTTTAGAAGGAGGCCAGGAAAGACAGTGTCCATATTTATTTTCTGACAGTTTTTATAAGCTCTGCATACAACTCCTTTTAGAGACCTTGTTGCTATTTTTTAATTCCAAAACCAATACCTGCAAAGAAAAGGGTTACAACGTTCATCTCTCCATGCTCTCGATATCCATTGCCTTCAGATGCTGGGTGAAATATCTTTTGCATTTGGTACACTTCTGGGTGTATCAGATGCCTGGCCACCCACTATGCGCTTTAGTCCCTTCCTCCACCCTTAAGTCATTGGAGTTCACATAGCTCACCACCATGGCTCATCTTAAAGCGGCGATGCAAAATAATTAACGGATTGCTGGCGATCAAGGTTAACTGGTATGGAGGAGGGGCTGAAAGTGAAAGCGCACTCTCTGTGTACCATGTGCCGAATGGAAAAAAAAATATGGTGGGCTGTGTGGTCTCCCAGAGGGTCTGTGGTGGGCTATGCGGGGTCTATGGTAGGCTGTGCAGACGCTAGGTTCTATGGTGGGCTGTGTGGGGTCTATGGTGGGCTGTGCGGTGTCCATGCTGGGCTGTGTGGGGTCTTAGTAGGACTGTGCAGTCTTACCAGGGGTCCCGCACGGTCAGTCTGCGGGAAAGGGTGGTGTGGATCCACAGAAGGAGGAGGACATATTCGGCCAGCACTGTACACAGGAAAGCTTCTGGAACCTTGCTGGGAACCTTGGCAGCATTCCTATGAACCCCGGCACCTGTTTACAGTGCTGGTTTCATTTTTAAAAGGGAAAGGGGCGAGAGCCACATCAAATGGCTGGCAGGCAGAATTCGGCCTTCTGTTTGAAATATATGCATGTATGGGGAGATTTGATGCCTGTAGAGGTATGTGCTGCATGTAGGTGGGATCTACTGCATGTAGGGGGATCTTTTGCCTGTAGGGAGGACCTTTTACCTCTAGGGGGGATCTGCTGCCTCTAGGGGGGATCTGTTGCCTCTAGGAAAGGTCTGCTGCCTGTAGGGGGGTCTGATACCTGTAGGGGGATCTGATGCCTATAGGGGGATAAATGGGATGGTATTCGTCTGCATTTCTGTATCATGTATTTCTGGGATTTGTGTCCTCTATAGCTGATGGTATTCTGGCTTGCTGTATAATGTAGCTCCTGGGATTTGTAGTCCTCTATAGCTGGTGCCATCCTGCATTGCTTAAAGCCCGAAGACCCCCAGAAGGGCACTTGGATGAATGTTCATAACTAAGAAATGGGAGGGGGGGCGAAAAATGTAGTTCTGCCCCGGGCGACTGTAGCTCTGGTTACGCCACTGATACCGCAAGCTCTAGCTCGCGATATACTGAGCTTTGGGTCACGGGAGGACGCAAGTTTATGTCCTCCTGTGACCTTTAGGAGAACTATGGGGAAAAACACTGACCCCATAGTTCTCCTTTAACCACTTGCTGACGGGCTTAAACCCCTTTCCTGGCCAGGCCATTTTTCAGTATTCAGCGCTGCGGTACTTTGACTGGTATTTATTCCGTCATGCAACGCTGTACTGAAATTAATTTTATATAATTTTTAGGGACAGATAGAGCTTTCTTTTGGTGGTATTTAATCACTTCTGGGGTTTTTATTTTTTTACTATATAATGACAAAAGATCAGAAAATGTTGAAAAAAACCCTGTTTTCCCTACATTGTGTTATAAAACATTTATTAGTACCCAAATATTTTGTAAAATATAAAAGATGGAGTCACGTCGGGTAAATAGACACCAAACATGTCAAGCTTTCAAATTGCATGCGCCCCCGCGAAATCGCAAAAAACGACCACACCTAAAATTGGCCATAGGCGATGCTTTAAAAGCTTTTTTTACTCATGATTTTAGTGTAAACAGTGATTGATGGACCTAGAATTATTGCTCTCACTCTGATGTTCGCATCGATATGTAACATGTGTGGCGTAATCGTGGTTTTCGCACGTAGGCGCACCCGACGCATATTTAAGTTTAATTTTATTTTAACTTTTTTGTTTCTTACACTTAACTTTATTGCTTTCACATATCGGATAACAAATATACAATGATAGGTGCTCTTTATGGAGATATCAGGGGTCTCTAAGACCCCTAATGTCACCTTGGGACCCCCAAAGAAGCTGATGAAGCAGAAATCTGCTTCTCCAGCTTCTTCTCTGGCTAGAGCTGCCAGAGAAATGGCAGCTAAAGGCGGAAGTGATGTAATACACATCACTTCTGTCTTTAGAGATCGGAGGAGAGATCAGCAAGTAAGAGAAAGCAGATATCTCCTCCATGTACAGTTGAGCAGCCACTGTGCCGGTCATGGGCCCGCAGGGCGGGGGGACAGTGGAGCCTGAGATAACCGGCAGCAGAGGGGGCGCACTGTGTGTTGTCATACAAGCGATCGGCCGGCTGTAGAGCCGGCTGAACGCTTGTATTTAACAGCCTGGAAACGGCTATTTAATATTATTATTAGGAAAGAGATTATATGCCCAATTGTTTCTAAGAAAAGGTGGCAACTATATGAACAGCAGTGAAAATTATTATTATTAGGTTTCATTTAGAAAACCCTGCCATATTCAGATGTGCCCTAGGGAGAACACGGAGCCATTTATATTACCCAAGAGGAGCTGTAACTCAAAATGTCCCCAATGCAGGCAACCACACATTATTTCTATTCTTTGTAGGGGCTTGACATATAACACAGTGTTGTACAAGTACATAAGATATTTATATCAATCTCTGCCCTTTGATACAATTCCACTCTAATGGCCATACCACACTCACACCATTACTGATTTACATTTATATAGCTCTGACATATTCCCAAGTGCTGTACAGAGAATACAATCATTTACATCATTATTTGTACCAGAGGAGCTTACACTCTAATAGCCCCCCACATACACGGTATTATTGCGCATTTATATAGCTCTGACATATTCTCCAGTGCTGTACAGAGAATATTGAACCGTTCCAATTACTGTCTGCGGCAGAGGAGCTTACACTCTAATGCCCCTAGCAGAGTTACACATACTTATTATAATTACACATTTGTATACGTAGCTATGACATATTCCACAGTACTGTATAGCAGTGGTGGAAAAAAACAATATGAAATTCAGGAGCCAGAAGAATTTTTTTGGGAGCCAGCTCCATTGACAACAACTAGAGAAAACCTTACAGTTAGGCACCAGCTGTAGTTTTTAAGGCTCGGTGGCGGCTCCTGGGAAATTGTCCAGTCCTGCTGTATAGAGAACACTAAGCCATTCCCGTATGTCTGTACTCCAGAGGAGCTTACACTCTGTTACCAACATAGTCACACACTATTATATTTTTATATAGCTCTGACATTTTGTGCAGTGCGATACAGAGAACACTGACCCATGCACATCAATCTCTGACCCTGCTTACACTCCCACAGCAGTCACACAAAATTATTACTATACATTTATAAAGCGCTGTCCTAGTGCTGTATAGAGAACACTGAACCAGTTACATTGATGTCTGCATTACACAAGCTTGCACTCTCATTCTCTGTTCCCATAAATACCATAATGTCTTGAGCAGTGATTAGCAGCGAGAGATCTGTGACATTGTCTTCTATCACTAGTTCCAACACAGCAGGATATAAATATCCTCCACAAATCATGCCATAGAGCCAGCGTGATAAAACTGCACTCAACTGAACTGGGGCTTATCGGGCTTTGTTTGGCATCCAGAGCGATTCAAAAACAAGTTTATCAGAGTTTGTGCCCTTGTAGTGGAATGAATCAGTTTCCTGGAACACAGAACAATTAAGCACTTGTTCTATAATCTGGAAGAAGGACAAGTGGGCCATCCTTGTCTACAGGATGCCCTTGGTGGCATAGTGGTAAGTGCTACAGCCTTGGGGCACCGAATTCCTGGGATTGATACCCACCAGATCTCTATTTGCAAGGAGTTTACATATTCTCTGGGTTTGTTGGGGATTCTTGTTAACAAACATGTTTTAGAGCTGCTACTCAGATAACAGGAAATGTTACACTAAACAACGCAGAAACAGGACAAATAAGATTTAACCTTTTTTGGGCTTTTACTTCTCTTTTGGGTCACAGGAGTACATTTAGTAGTGTACTCCTGTGACCCAAACTCAGCATATAGTGGGCTACTGCCTGCTATTCGCTGACCGAACAGAGCTGGGCTGCAGCCGGGAAGGATCCTGACAATATTGTCCGGATCCACCCCGCTGCCTGATTGACAGCTGACTCTGCCTCTCTAGAGCCAGACCCAGATGTGCCAGCCCCCTCCACTGTCTGTTTCCCGAGTCAGTGCTGGAAGAACAGAGAGGGGAGGGGGGAATCTCTGCAGGGAGAAGACCGTGGGCAGATTGATCAGCTGTGACACGATCACTCAGCTCTCCGTATATAGAGTTGGCGTGCGACATCTGCAGTGTCCAACACCGGCTATAAGAATAGAGAAGGGTATATAATTTTCTCCCAATACTTCTCCTTTAATTACTTATTTCAGACCCTAAATATGTTTTTGCCCACAAAAGAGAAAACCATTTTACATTACATACACCTAAATGACCTTTAACCCTTTCGCTGCCACCGACGTAAGGCATAAGGCGGAACAAAAGTGTTCCCGGCTGGCAAGCTCAGTATGCCTTACGTCGGTGGCATTTACAGTTCTGCTATAAGCTCATGGTCGATTTAGCGACCATAAGCTTATAGCAGAATTATTTACAGTTCTGCATACCTTCATTTTTTTACCTTTTCGCAAAAAGGCGCAATTACAAATGTGTTAATATTTGTTATGTATTAACTCAATACAGTTTTATCTTTTATATTTAGCTAGAAAATTATTATTTTTTTGTACACGGATACTGATTTTGGTGTGTTTTATCAATTGAATTGTGTATTTTTATCGGTTTAATATTAATTTGAGAAACATTTGCGCAATTATCGCACGGCCTACAAATTTAGTATCACCATCTTTTTATTCTACCGGGCCTGCACTTTCAGAAAATATATGAGTTGGGGGGTCTTTTACAAACGCTAGCAACCCAGCAGTTGAAAATCAAATCAATAGGAAAAAATTGCAAAAATGGCTTGGCCAGCTGATTTGAAAAATGTTCCGGAGGGCTTGGCAGCAAAAGGGTTAAGTTGCCATGCTCTGTGAATTTTAGCTGGTTCTTGAGTAGGTGCCGCTGTCGGCAACCTTTTGGCCAACATCTCTCCATTAACTGATCTAAGGAGCCGGTCAGAAAATCTTTGTACAGACAGCGCAGGGAGCTGGCACAGCTGGGTCTGGCTCTAGAGAGACAAAGCCAGCTGTCAATCAGGCAGCTGGGTGGATCCAGACAATATTTCTCGGGATCGTTTCCGCTGTCAGAATACAAAAGAAACAGCAGGGATTCCTTGATCAGTGCACCTTTAGTGTTGATGGTAGAATCTGCTCTGTTTTTTCATTCAGCCCGCAGGTTGAAAGAAAAAAAATAGAGCAGTGCATGGCCAGCTTTAGATTCGCAAATGGTAGGAACACTTTTAAATAAAATAGTTTTGTTTTTCCATTCATATGGTAAACCTGATGTAGACAGCAGAGGTTAACACTCCCAATAACACCATTAAAAAAGTAATTAAAAAGAGCAGAACCGTAATCTTTCCCACAACAAAATCAATAGGCTTCCAAACACATATGGGATGGTGTAAGGCTATCCAAATATTGATCTGTGTAGCTGACATAAGTGATTTCAATTGACATTCTGGGTCCACTGACAATGCAGGTTTGAGACAATTATACTATAATTATTTACTTAAGCTGATCATACACTGATAGATTTTTTTTTAGTTCAGTTCCCAGGCTGATTCCTCCATCCACGCTAAACAGTGTGAATGGACGAATCTCGTGCAGCAGCTACCGCATTCTGACAGTGGTCGCCCGCCATTGTCAGAATACATGAGCAGTAATTGCAACTGGTTGGCTGCAGTCACCGTTTAGTGGAATATTTTCGACCCATAAACCTTTGTCAAGCCGCCAGAGCCACTCACTACAAGAATTTGGCTGATTTCTGTCAATCAGCTGACATTCTAACAGTGTATGGCCAGCCTTAGGCCTCCAAAGGATCACAATATATCTTGATTGACAGAACCTACTTAGAAAACTCTGTACTTTACACCAATGATTTGATTTTATGTGAAAAGTATTCTTTAGCTGTATCATAAAGAAGGGCATAAACAAAACTGACAGATAATTATTTACTTTAGGCTCTTGATTATCTTATGGTAGAACATAGAGAGAACCGGTCATATAAGAACATATTTTCGATGCATGCTCCTGTGACATTTTTTATTATCAACCTGGGCATTGGTGTGCGTGTAGTTTTTGAAATTGTTTAGTGAGAAAAGATAGGTATTATGGATTTATCTTTCAGAACAATGTCTAATCTCTTGGTACCCTTGGACTAGTCCTGCTCTTGTTACTTCATGGACTGTGCATTGGTCTTGTCCTCTGAAGGTTTGACTATAAATTCATTTACAACTGTAAATATTCTGATTGGACACAGTTTGGTCCAGCCCTATGAATGCTGTAGTGGACCTGATTGGCGAGAAGTTGGTCTCATCCTGTAAATGATGCAATGCTCTCAATGACAACAAGCTGGTCTAGATCTATGCATGATCTATTGATCTGATTGGTCAGCACAGTGCAAAGTGGTCAGCATGCTGCACAATAACAGTAAAAGATATGAGCAGGAACTTGAAAGAACACTGAAACAGTCACAAATTGCTTAATTTTGCTGCTAAAAAAGAGGACCATCAAAACACCCATCCTCAAGGCAGTTAAGCATAGACTAATGGCCATCATGGTCAATGAAAAGCTGATTGCAATTTTGAATTGTTTCAGTGCAAATGTTCCTCTTATTTAGCAGCCCTGGATACATTACCCTCACCCTCATCAATTTGATAACAGTTTGCCAACCATTTAGTGACTTTTTATTTTTCTGGAATCCCCCTTCCCGAGACTCCTACTCTGTTTCTCTGCCTTCCTCCTTCTCTTCTCTATTTGTATTTCCTTTCCTATTACTTCTCTTTTTCTGCTTTCTTTCTATCCGTATTCTATGTCGTGCTTCTTTTCTTTGTCTTCCTTTTGTCTGGAACCCTGTGTATTTTTGTAATGGTTACATTACTTTTTTAAGGATTTTTAAAGCCCATCACACTGGCGAGATTTTATAGCCCCTGACCTTAGAGCATTTGGGTCAGTTTTCTGTTATCTGTTGTATTACGCCTCAGGATGTTTGATTCATACATCTCGACCCACCGGAGATATTGCTGTAACTATTCTTGTACTTCATTGCCACTTCAACACTTCTGTATATGTCTCCTTTCAATACAACTTTAGGTTTTTTTTAAAAGGGGAAAAAGGGGATCATCTGTTGATGTAGAACACATTATAATATCATCCACAGATAGTGGTATGCTTAGACTGTTCCTTTTAACGGTTCGCCCTACAATAAAATGTTTTGAATTTTAAAAGAAGCGGAAATCCACCCTCAATAAATTAACCATAACAGTTTATTCATTTTAAGATAGATTCTCATCTAAATCAACATTAGCAAACATGAGGTCCACCAGACGTTTAGTCTGGTGCGGCAGCTGTTAATGGCTTTTCCCTTACTGATGGATGTTCCACCTGACTCTATATTGTTTGGGATACACAGAAATCCCAGAAAATTCCAGCAGGATACATAAAGCAGAACCTTATGCCATCAGATTTACAATGACTGCACAAATTATGTTCTGCTATTGTAAACATAAAATGTTCTTCTGCGGCAGACTAAGTGTAAGTGTTTCAGCTTTGGCAAATTACAAATCCCAGCAAGATCTGCAGTTCCAGTTTACTCCAGCTTGTACCTATTTTTCTTTGGTCTTTGTAACAGAGTCTCTGCGTATTTGGATATGATTCTGCAAGCTGTTGGGACAGGCAAGGCAGTTCCTATTTTGCCATCAATCTAGCAGAGAT